GACTGGTCTGACATATATTTTGGTGATGTTTTATAAATATTTCTTGTTTGGTCCTGAGTGATATCTATCGTCATCATCATCATAAGCTCGTCAGTCCTAAGACTGGTTGGACACGCACCTTTAATTTTTTCTATCCTGAGTTAATCTTCGCTTTTCCTTAAAATTAGAACATCCCACGTCCTTAATTTATTGTGAACAGTAATCTAATATATGTCTACCTCTACTCCTCTGATCCTGTTTCTGATTTTAATATGTCTTTATGTCTATATGTTCGGAAAATTCAAACATCGAAAAAGTTCACTGTGACACTGTCCATATGACCTAAATGTAGAGGAATGCTTTGAGAAAAATTGTATAATAAAGAAACGTCGGGAACCTTTAGCTAAATGGTTCGCGGAATATTTTATTTTACATTTTAGGATTGCTTCAAGAGTTAGGAATAAATGGAGCTCTTATCATTGTTTTGAAAATAAAAGCTGCTTCCAATTTTAATTTTTGATCACTTATCAGATTGTAACAACAAAAGTTTTATATTCGAATTGAGAAGTGAATGTTATAGAATACGGGGAATATAAAATAGAATATAGAATACCTGGTGAGTACTATTAGAAACACTTATGAAAATATTTCAAATTTTACTGTAATACCCTGAAGAAATTATCACCATAAAGGATCCCGCAGAATCCTTATAGAAAATTGGCTTTAAGTCAAATTGACTGTAAATGGAGCATGATGTTCTTTCTATCTTTCTGATCTAAAAGTTTTTATGATGGACACGAGATCAAAAAATAAACAGTTTCTGAGCTACGAATCAAAAGAACGCATGATTTTCGGCTACCTAATGCCTAATATCTAATATAACTGGTAGGATATAGGATATCAGTGAATTATCTCTACAGGTACTCTCGATACATATGTTATTAGTTGTAATGAGGAACATTTAGTCATGATTATAATAACTATCTCTAAATCATTTCAATTTGTATTCATTTTGAATCATAACTGAATAATAGTAGTGTAGGTCCATGGGGAAAGAGTTTTGTTAAGAGCCGTTTCCATTCGATCACATCAATTTTGTTCGGCTCTCGTTTTGGGTTATCGTTAATTCATAAACATGTAGCCATCATCGACCGGTGCTTATCAGACTCTATCGAAAACTTCAAAGGGCAAACAATTCGTTTCGTTCCAACAAAGTTTGTTATTCGTTTGCTGAAAGTTGCCAGTTCTAATTTCTTTATTAAGCTCCATGCCTGTACCAGCAGATATACCTACTAGTAAAGTGCGACACTACATCGTCATTTCAGAAGAAGAGAGAGAGACAGAGAGCTGTGAGCCGTGATGGTGGAGATGGTGGTGGCGCATCAGCAATAGAGAAGCATCAGCATCAGCATTAGCACCAGCAGCAGCAGCAGTAGCAGTTGATGGAATCTAATTTCCCCAGAGGACCGAGCCATGTTGTTTCTGTATCCTAAGAATAATTCAATTTGCTCCGAAACCACGTCCTTTTGACAAACCACCGAAACCGACTAATTGCTATCCACATTGTGGAAATATACACTTTGAGAGACTATTGTTAATCCAAGTCCAAGTTTGCAGAAGCGAAATGAAGAGAAAGCGAAGGCTTTGTGAAAGGCAGTCAACCTCTCAGTCTCCTTTGAATGCAAAACGGTCTTTATCATAAGACTACTGCTTGCTTGCCGTTTGGCATCACCTTTACCTACTGTACCGACCATTTCAACGAAAACAACGTAATAATTTAATGTCTTACTACTTAGCCAGAAATAAAACACGAGAGCTCTCAAACAAATAAGAGATAGCTAATTGCCAAGGGGACGAAATGTTTCAAGCATTCGTTCTTTCTCATTGTCAAGATTAAATCCGATGTGGCATACTTATGTAAGGAAGCCTTTCTTTTATCGTATTTTCAAGTGCATCACCTCTAGGATAAAAAAATATAATTGACGAACTGCTTTTGTTATAACTCTAACATGTTAGGTACTATATTAGAATTATAATACGCAAACATCAAAACTTATTGATCATGCGATTTCTAGTTTTTGTTACTCTGAAAGTAATTACAACAGTGGTAGTCGGTGATCAAATACAAATAAACGTGAAAAAATGCTGTCTGTGAAGATTAAAAAAACACGGAAATGTATGAGTATACAATTGAGTTCTAGATATGCTGAAATAAGAAACTTCGTAATGTCTGGCGATTAAACCATATAATCTGCCTTTTACAAGATTTTTCATTGTCATTTAACTTTTTTTTTTAGATTTTCTAATCAGTTAATTCAGCATCATTTTAGTTTGTCAGGCTTATATGAGCTAACATTTACAAAATATTATTATCCAGCTTATGCAAATTGTCCGCCATTTTATTTTCGTTCTATTAATATCCACTCGCAAACTCAAGTGGTTTCCGTGGTGTAGTGGTTATCACATCCGCCTAACACGCGGAAGGTCCCCGGTTCGATCCCGGGCGGAAACAGTCAAAAATTGATGCATTTGTCGTTACGTAAGTTATAGACGGCCCCTAATTAGAAAAACTTCCAATTATTTTATAAACATTAGTTAGATGTTAGAGAGAACCAAAAATCGTGTGTTCATGAGCCCAAATTTTATATTCTATAACGTAAATAATCATGAGGACTTTGATACTTTTAGACGGTGTCATAATCTATACAATAAGTTGTGATGATAATCTTCTGATATGTAGTAAAAATATATTTAGTACGTATACGTTGAGGGTGCGCGGGTGAAATTTAATACCATACTATTTCACCGTTAATTTGAGGCTGGCTTGGGGTATGGCACCCTGCGTGACGTCACAGAGCCTACGAACAAATAAGAGTAAATTCGTTTTCCATTAGATTTGGTCTGTTCGCTGGCGGGTAAACATTATAAACGAGCATAAATGAGTACACAGGGTGGCCTAAAAAGATTTCTTAATGGCGTCACACGTTATCGAAAGATCAAAGCATTCTTTAGACAAAATCGAAAGGTTAACATCATCTTCAGCCATAAGACAAAATCAAAGGATTATCATTATCCTCACTCTTAAGACAAAATCAAAGGGTTAACACTATCGTAAGTCTTAAAACAAAATCAAAGGATTATAATTATCCTAAGTCTTAAGACAAAATCAAAGGATTGTAATTACCCGAAGTCTTATGACAATATCAAAGGGTTAATATTATCCATCCTCAGTCTTAAGACAAAATGAAAGGGTTAATATCATCTTCAGGCTTAAGACAAAATCAAATGATTATCATTATCCTCAGTCTTAAAACATAATCAAACGGTTAATATTATGCTCAGTCTTAAGACAAAATCAAAGGATTATCATTATCCTCACTCTTAAGACAAAATCAAAGGGTTAACATTATCGTAAGTCTTAAGACAAAATCAAAGGATTATAATTATCCTAAGTCTTAAGACAAAATCAAAGGATTGTAATTACCCGAAGTCTTATGACAAAATCAAAGGGTTAATATTATCCATCCTCATAAGACAAAATCAAAGGGTTAATATAATCCTCAGTCTTAAGACAAAATCAAAGGGTTAACATCATCTTCAGCCTTAAGATAAAGTTAATGGGTTACCGTTAGGGGTCCTACCTGATTTATTCTCTATTAAAAATTCGATCGCATTATGCAACATACGGACATACCTTTAGTGATAACTAGTGAGAGCACCGTGCCTTTTGGATAATCCGATGATGTAAACGTGATTTCTCAATAATTTCGCACAATTCTGAATAATTTTTATTGGGTACCTACATATTTCGCGACACACTGTATTCGATTACGTTTAAGAAGGAGAATATGTGATGAATGTGGTATTATTTCCTGGCCTGAAATGAGAGGATGCCGCCAACCGCCGGCGTCGGCAAGGGGGTGAACGTTGGCTGGCTCCGAGTTGCTCCGGGTCTCCGGAGGAGCCGGCGCCCCTGCCGGCCTGGCCAGTCTCGCCAACGAGGGGCCGACGTACAACAATATTAGCTTATTTTGTTCGTTCGCCCCCGATATGCCGTCTCCTATAATAAGGGTGCGGGGACAGGACATGATGGAGTCGCCACCATGGTGGTGCGGTGGTGGTGGTGGTGGTGGTGGTGGTGTCATGTTTTCTTCCGATTTACCACCGCCGGCGGTGCCACTGTCATAGATGCAACCCCCTAGTGCAGTAAACGAGGGTGGATAATCTTCCCCTTCGGATAGCCTCGCGATGACGAACAAAGGAGCCGTTTAATTTATTCCATCCCCTGCACAATAAAATTTAATCGACTCGATATGGCATGAACGCAATTTTTTGTTATTTTTTTTGTATTTTTTTTTATACTCAAAACCAATGTAGGTGAAAACTTTTTCGTGCATTGACGAATGCCTATAAGGAGCCGTTATATGACTTCTAATTCTAATAGACAGGTACTTACTAGAGGTAATTCTAATTAGGTACCTTAAGGTTGTAATTTTTAAATTTGAGTTCTCGAAAAGTTGTATATGAAACCATCTAGAAGGAAGAGTTTAAGGGGTTGCCTAAACATAGGTACGAATTTTGAAATTTAGAGCTTTATTGAAGACTTGATCATACATACTTATATATTTTCTTGCTAATTCCTAAATAATATTTCTGTTTCAAAATTATCAATTTAATGAAATTCCTGGCTCTTGTTTGTTATAATATTCTTAATTCATACACTAAAGGTTATATCTTTAAAACGAATTGTTAAATATAATTACCAATTAGCCAATTACCTTCTGGTCTAGTATCATATTTATAGTAAACTTGATTTATTCCAAATTCCATCGGAATTTCAAATTTGTTTGTTTTCCCTAAAAATATTGCGTCAACCTTTCCAAGCGACGCAGCGAAAGTGAATATTCTAACTGGGTTGAAATAAACGTGAAAGTAATAGCAATTACAGCTGTAACCCCGACAACAAAGGCAAAAAGTAATTATCAAATGTAAACTAACATGACCATTGTTGGGGGAGTCGCGACGCCTGATGAACCGGCGGCCAAAATGCGAAACAAGAGCGTCAACGTCGTCCGTCAGGCAGGCGGCGCGTCCGTCGCCGCGGCGCGTCACGTTGGGCGCCTGCTGGGCCCATCAGCGTCGTCATCGGCGTCGACGGTTGAAGCGTCCGCGCCTCGGCGGTCGACGGGCGCCTCATGCCGTGCAAAAACCACTGTTTGCCAGCTTGTTTGTTCACTTGTCGTTAATTTGCAGACTGCCGATACGATGGATATTTTACACATGTGTGTACGTGTATATGTGTGTGTACAACTGTTGTCTGTCTGCAAATTGCAAAGATTTTGTCCTCAGTTACCCACCCAAATCCGCTATGTATTTAGGATTGAAGAAAATAATCTTAGAGTTTCAGTGAGAAATTAAAACCTCATATAAAAATATGTCAGTAATAATCATCGCCGATTTTTCCGTAAGAGCTGCAGAAAGTAAGAACACAAAAGGCATAACAAAAAAATGTAAATAATTACAATTACTTTTATAACATGTATAGAATGCGAGTGTCATATATAAACTACAATACATAAAAAACTTTCCCATTTTCACTGATTGTTTGTACCTTACAATCACTTATACTTGGGATGTTCAAAATTGGCATAGTCCGCAATAAAACTGTCGCATTTACTTTCTTCTTTCAACTTACGAACTAAACTAGAGCGGTTGCTGACAGAACGTCAGACGTTGTATGGAATATTGTAAATAGGAAAAGAGATGCCACATAGGAATTGCAGCGGACACTAAAGAAAAGGAATAACATTATGCCAATTAATGTGAAACAGAAAGAGACGCCAACAAGCAGAATTTGAGCATGTTGCCGGCATCGGACTTTAAAGAAAGTTCAACATTCTCAGGAGTTTAGGAAAGTAGAGACTTTTTTAAAGATATGATTCCAACCAGGCAGTTATGAAGCCGATCCTAATGTTTTGCATACCTAACCAACTTTTAACCGCTGCATCGCTTACTATTATTCGGTTATCTCTTATCAATTTGTCTGTACTACTCATGAGGTATTTCCTAACTTAACAAGAACATGTTCAAAACGCAGCAAATAACAACACTCCCAAGTGGACTAAAGAAAGAAGGTATGTCCATCCCCATAGATAATTAATTGCGGGCTTTGCCAATTTTGATCGTCCGAATTATAACATTGATCACTTCGAATATACGAGTGTTATGCCACCCAACAAACATTATGTGTTCACTGCGAATCTTCTTGGCGTCCTTTAGTCTTGTTGGATAACCCAGCACGCAGTTTAATACCCACACATATACATATGTATGCTCATTGTAGCTGCAATATTTGCAGCGAATGGCCAGTCAATTAATCTTATATTAATTAATTTCAAGTTATTATTATGCGTTAACTAACGTATATGTTGTTCTTTATGAAGACGAGCCGCCGCTGTCTAAAGTTAGTCAAACTATAACCAGTACTTTTTTTCAAGATTAATGTTAACGATTATCCGTACATATTCTTAGCCATTATGTACTTATACAGAAAGTTTTTCCAAATTTCCATTTGAATCTTTTTTTTTTTTATTTATAATAGCAGATTACCTGTCCATTGTGCACCATTTTGACCTATTGAGTCCACATTTCTAGGTAGGATTAGTCTTTCGATATACGTAGTAAATTTGTTCTTGAAGAAGAATATTGTTTATTGTTTTTTTTTTATAAAAAAGTATAGGAACGAACATGAATCTTTTATTTACGAATAGTATATACAAAATCGTGTTTTAATAACATTCTGTCTGTCCGAGGGATAGAGTTAACAATCAGTTCGATTTTTTTCTTTTGTCAGAACAGAAGAAGAATAAAAACATCACTAGTCGCCACCGTGTCATTAAAGTAGGTAGTAATTGTCAGTACACAAGGAGGTTTGGGCTAGTCCCAAATTTTGAGGATAATCAATTCACCGAGAGTCGTTTCGTCCGATTACTATTTCATTTAATGTTTGAAGTATCTCATCACCTCCACCGCTTCCTATCTCGAGGTGATTTTTGGATTTCGCCAAAATTAAAACATCAAGGTATTTGCGACCAGTAATCTAATCTATTACGTCTACCTCTAATCCTCTTTAATCCCATAAAACAATTCGAAGTGGTCTGTATCCTGTCGAAACTGCCAGGCGCGCATCGCGATTTCGATCTTTTTGGATCTCATCAGCGCGTCGCAGGCAGCTCCGACAGAACACAGACCAACTTTTACCTGCTGTCTTAACAGTGCGTTTCTGTACTGCAGATGGCGTTTACCGCGCCATTTGTGGTATTTTCTAAAACGCACTGTTAAGACAGCAGGTAAAAGTTGGTCAGTGTTCTGTCGGAGCTGTCTGCGACGTGCTGATGAGATCGAAAAAGATAGAAATCGCGATCCGCGTCTGGCTGTTTCGACAGGATACAGACCACTTCGAATTATTTTATCCGATTATGGTAACGTGCCTTATCACGTTGAGGTTAGCTACGCCGGAATTCGTTTCAGCAAGTAGATATCCACACAAGTGGACCTTGTTAGAGCATACGTAATCCTAAAATGTAGCATCGGACTACAGATGGCGTTTACCGCGCTATTTGTGGTATTTTCTCTATAATCCTGTTCCTACTTCTAAAATGTCTCTTGGTAGCCCTTCAAGTCTGAGAAGGTGTCCTGCCAATCTATTGATAATAACTTTTACAATCGTTGATTAAATACAATAATGACAGATTAAATTTTGTTGTTGAGTAATAAAAAATATTTTAACGGAATAAACAACATGAGGCCAACTGGGAAAATTATAACCGTATGTCGTTACTGCTCGGACTTCGTCCGTGTCTTCTTTAGTCGAATGCCGACTTACCGAAACCTGCCATTTGGGACCTTCGTGTCGAGAATTCAAAATCGTTGTTCAGACAAATAACGTTTAATCACACGTTGCCCGGTCGTGCTCCGATTTGATGAGACCGGACCATCATCGGCGGCGTTTTCCGGCGAGGCGCTCAACAAAACTCATCGAAAACAATCGACTTCATCTACCTCATGTATACAGTATACGTGATGTATTTTTTGGTTATTTTTCCTCCGCTTTCTGTTTTAATAACAACTAACTATAAGAGACAAGCACCTTTACTTTGAACATACAACAGTGCCGCCTTTCAGGAAACCTTAACACACTTATATAGGTATCACATATAACACATAGTTATGCCTTTATTGTATACATATTGTCAGACCAGGTGGAAGACCTATTGCTAATATAGCAAACTCTACATTTGAAAACATTTCCAATGTGGGATTCCACTGGACTAGTCGGGCAAAATACCGGATCGGTAAAATATAGGACAGCTAAAAAAACGAACACAATACTTCTCCTGCTAAGTCCCGTTCCATTTTCATGAGAATACCGGCGTTCGTCCTAATCATAAAATGAACTTAAAAAAGCGCTCGTAATTTTGTTGGAAGATGGAAGGTATTTACTAAACTTTGGGAAGTGATAATTATGTAAAAAAGTACGGAGAACCTCATGGTGCCAATGCTTTTTGAGTGCAACAGCAAACAGGTACTTTTCAGCATAATTTTTGGCTAAAATAGATAAAATAATTTAAACATAAGAAAGCGCTCGTGAAATTATTAGGAGATGGAGGGTATTTATTAGGAGATGGAAGGTATTTACTAAGCTTCTAGAAGTGATACTTAAGTAAAAAAGTACGGAGATTCTCATGGTGCCAACGCTTTTTGAGTACAATAGCAAACAGGTACTTTTTAGCATAATTTTTGCTAAAATAGATAAAATAATTTAAACATAAAAAAGCGCTCGTGAATTCACTGGGAAAAGGAGGATATTTGATGTGCTTTCAGAATCAATAATTATATAAAAAGGTACACAGAATCTCATGATGCCAACAGTTTTTGAATATGGTATTGATATTGGTACTTTATTGTTATTATAGCAGTTAAAAGCTAGAAAGTGTTTCAATTCTTTTTTTCGATTATTTATCGATTTATTAACTAATTAGCCTAAATTAAATAAGTATTGGGTGAAAATAGTGATATGAAAATTTTCTCTGAAAAATCGAATGTTGATAGAAGTTTTAGAATAAAAGAAAAACGGTACATAATAATTTTGAAGTTCTATATATTCCACATAACACCAACGACCTTCATAAGTTGTTTCCGTGGTGTAGTGGTTATCACATCCGCCTAACACGCGGAAGGTCCCCGGTTCGATCCCGGGCGGAAACAGCATTTTTTTTCTATTTACCGCTTTGGAAATGCCTTTTAATCACATGTAACTTTAAATAGTTACTTAAATTAATTTGTTATGATAAATGAAGTTAGTAACAGATAGGCAGATGTAAAGGATCAGCTAGAGACATTAAAAGCATAAACAGGAGCTGAAGGGAGTTGAGGAAGACCTGGATTAGATTACTATTGACAAATAGTTGCGGGATATTCTAATTTTAGGGAAATGCAAAAATTAACTCTCGATGGGAAAAAGTGAGTACATGTCCAATCAGTCTTAGGACTGACGACGTGACGACCTTATGATGATGATAATGATAACGATACATATTTCCAAAGACTTTAAGTAGAGCTGTAAGATTCGCATTTTATTATATTTTTTGAACATTCACCCATGTTTCCGTATATTACACTACTACTTATTTGGAATTTCACACATTTTTATTTTGATTGCGAAAAGTGTTCAATATGGTTTCCAAAATGAATGTAGAATACAAAGGTCGAGCCGGATATGTATCATATGAAACCAAGTTTACTAAAAAAAATTTTTTACCGCATCCATTTTGAATGCTGAACCGTATATGGAAATTGCATACTTATATACAATTATTATTATGTTATTGTTATTGTATATAAATGTAATACTTATAATTTATATACAATTATTATTATAGGTATTATATATAATATTAGTATATGTAGATGTTTGACAACTGCATCTGCCGGATTGAGAGGTTCCCATTGAAAACGATGTATTGTAGTTGTACCTACCTGTAAGACGAGAGCAGGCGGACGAATGAATTGGAAAGGGGATCCAAACCCATTCATAATTATATTAACACGGTAGCCGAGTGACAATGCGATGGCAGCATACACAATCAACTCGTTATAACAGAAGGATCTTTTAAAACTTTCCTGTCTGGCGCCACAATTTTGACGAACAATTGAATTTCAACCAGTCAAGCTGCGGTGCCGGATCATTTTTTTTTTACGTCAATAACAAATGCGAATTCATTTTGCTCTTGGAAAGTAAGTATGATGAAGGGTATCGACACTATCGCCAGTCAGGTTTTCAATCATAGAAAAAACAATAATAAAAACTGCTATTCACTAAGAGTTTAGATCCAATTAGGTGGAGAAGGTTTCCTCGATTGACTTATGTGAAGTTCTATCCCCCATCAGCTTCGACCGGGTTATTATGAGAGAGGACACCCTGATTGGCTTGTATGAAATGCTATGCATAAAGAGTTCAGATCCAATTAGATGGAAGAGGTTTCCTTGATTAACTTGTATGAAGTTCTATGCTTTGCAGCTTAGACTGGGTTATTACGAGAGAGGATCCCCTGATTGCCTTATATGAAATGTGATTGACTTGTCTGAAGTTCTACGCTCCATCGTCTTAGGCTGGGTTATTATGAGAGAGGACACCCTGATTGGCTAGTATGAAATGCTATGCATTAAAAGTTTAGATCCAATTAGATGGAGGATGTTTCCTTGATTGACTTGTGTGAACTTCTGTGCTCCATCATCTTAGGCTGGGTTATTATAAGAAAGGGCTTCCTGATGGAATTCTATGAAATGCTATGCACTAAAAGTTTAGATCCAATTATACAGAAGAGATTTCCTTGCTTGGCTTGTGTGAAGTTCTATGCTCCATCAGCTTAGACTGGCTTATTGTGAAAGAGGACACCCTCATTGGCTTGTATGAAATGCTATGCATAAAGAGTTCAGATCCAATTAGATGGAAGAGGTTTCCTTGATTGACTTGTATGAAGTTCTATGCTTTGCAGCTTAGACTGGGTTATTACGAGAGAGGATCCCCTGATTGGCTTATATGAAATGTGATTGACTTGTCTGAAGTTCTACGCTCCATCATCTTAGGCTGGGTTATTATGAGAGAGGACTCCCTGATTGGCTTGTATGAAATGCTATGAGCTAAGAGTTTAGATCCTATTAGATGGATGAGGTTTCCTTGATTGACTTGTCTGAAGTTCCACGCTCCATCATCTTAGGCTGGGCTATTCTAAGAGAGGACTCCCTGATTGACTTGTATGAAATGCTATGCATAGAGTTTAGATTCGGTTTGATGAAAAAGGTTTCCTTGATTGACATGTGTGAAGTGTCATGTCCCATGAGCTTAGCTTATTGGGGTGGGTGGATTATGGTTGGAATGAAGATGAGACGGACGGACGAAATGAAGAAAAGAAGAGGGCGAATGATTATCTGTGGAATATTACTGCCCCAGCATTTGCCTGAGGGATCCAAGGAAACTACAGAGAATGTTGGACCATAACCAGAACGGTATCCTCCCAAATTCTGAACAGTTAGCCCATGCCGCTCATCAGGATGGATGGGTTTAACTAGCACCATTAAAATGCTTTCTGAATTTCCTTTTCCGCGTGATTTCCACGAGGCAGATGTTGAAATACTTTCCTTTAGCGATTTACCTCTTGTATTCCAAATTTAGTATGAAAAAGGATAAACCGCCGGTGTAAAGCATTATAATAAAAATTCCGTTTTGAGCGACGAATTTTTGCTTTGATTGTCTGTCGGCGGAGCATTGGCATGGCTCGTGCAGGTCAATTAGGGTATTTTTTTTACAACGCCCCGACGTCGTCCTGTATCAAGCGCGGTAAATAACGGTGAGAATCCGGCCCTGGCGCCAGACGGCGCCAAGGCCCCACTACTTGTACAGACCGGTCCACTCTAGCGGCCGGTGCGTCAACCAGCAACTCACAAATACGGAATACCGATTCAAACCGCAGTCGCAAGTGAGCTGTTGTTGAGTGTGGCGGTTTCGTTTAGCTACCGTCTTGTCCTTGCCGGTATAATCCGCTTGTCGTACATTATCAAAAACACCGGTTAAACCGACAGATCGGTGACCGGTTATGTTCTCGTTCCACTATACAAGGTGAAGTTCTTCGTTTGTCATTCTTTAACCAAGAGCTTCCGTCTGAAATTGTCGCGTATAATAGGAGAAAGAGAAAAACCTCTTCCGAAGCATTTGAAACACTATTAGGTCGTAATCAAAGCGTGTGTGTTCCTAGTGATTGTGTCAGACGCTTATTGTTTTACAAATGCTTATTCAAAAGTTGTCGGTTGTTACTGTTAAAGCTAGTTGCACGTGAAGTGAACAACACGATACAGTACCTACTTTGGAGTCGTCGTCGAGGAGAAAAGGAAAGGCCGCGTTGTTTTGGTTCGAATAATAAATATTGCGAGTACTTAACAAGTTTGTTGCGGCGTCTAAGGTTCATTAACCATCTGGGATCAACCCGCGGGTCTTGATTTGGTTGCGCTGTTTAGGTGTTCGCTCTCATTATTTTTGTGGTGGTATTCGTCGTCGTGTCTCGAGATATTTTCACGGTGTGCCCATCGGTTGTAGCAACCCTGTGCGTACGCGATCATCAACTTCATCAGCGGCTGCCGACTGTTGCGATCCCGAGCGACAGTGGCGTGGAAACGAAGGGGCCAAGCTATTGCAACGCGTTCGAGGAAGAAGAAACGGAGGTGGTCGTCTGTTGCTGCGGCTGCACAGGGACAGAAGTGGCCCCCAAATGCTGGTCCCACGGAGCGGACAAATCCTGTTTCATGTTCATGTTCCGCAGCAAACGGACCTCTTACACTAAACGATTGCTGAAAGCTCGCCTCAGGCGAAACGTCGCCGGCGACGATGGCGCCAATGGAGGTCCTGAAAGCTGCTTGCAAGAGCTCCTAAAACGATTAAAGGATAACCAATTAGAAATGTTGTTGATGGCAATAGAGCGTCGCGGTCAGGACTTATCCAATTGTGTACTTTTACCACGAAACGGCGAACCGCACGTGCTCTGTTGCCAAACATGGCGATGGCCGGAATTGCGGCAAGCCAACGAATTAAGGCGGCTACCGAGCTGCAGGTCAGTCTCCGATCCCGTTTACATTTGCTGCAATCCTTACCACTGGAGTCGGCTCTGCCAACCCGGTAAGTCGTATCGCAAACAAAAACACATGTTCGTTCTCAACACCTACTTGTTTACCACATTAATTTGTCTTGGCGTATGTCCATTCAGAAATACACAACCAAATCAAATTGACTATAATATAACCCATTACTGAATCCTCTGTTCTCTTAACAAACATCACGTCAGCCGATTAGGTAAGGTTTTTGTTTCGTGGAGGAAGGTAATCTTCAAAGACGCCCAGTCGTTCGTACGACTGAGTAGCGTTCGATTTAGTCTCGACGAGCCCCTACCAACTAAAACCCCCTACCGCAGGCTTTGAGACCCAAGGCCTGCAGCAGTAGGAAGCAAGATAATATGATCCGAATATCGGCTTACATTTCAAACATAATAAGATGGTGAATTTTCTCATAAGAAATTGAATAAATGATAATGAATTTATTATCTTCCTGAATGCTGCTATCAGTAGAATGTACATGTATATAGAGGAGGCAGAAATAATTTTGATAGAAAATGAGAAAAAGGCATCAGATAGGTGGAAAGAATATTTTAAGAATCAGTACGCAGATCAAGAGTTAGGAGGTGTATTATAGAAAAAGGATAGTGTGGAGATAGGTGAGCTAGGATACACCACAATGAGAAAAAGTTTGATTTAGCATTAAAATATTTAAAGAATAATAAGGCACCGGGTACAAATGGGATACGGGCAGGAAGTCCTGGAGGACTATAAACGGAACGTGGTAGTAGTTAGTCGCAACAAAAAAGAGAGGCCCGGATAAATGCGAGAAATTTAGAACAATTAGCTTAACTTCCCATACTCCAAAAACCTTAACTGGAATCGCACAGAAAATGGATAGGAGGGCGAAAGCCAATATGGGTTTAGATTTAGAAGAAATAGAGGAACGCAGAGATCATTTTAGCTTTAGTGGTAACAATGCAGAAAACATTAGAAAAGAAAGAGCGCGTACGAAGATTTAGAAAAAGCTGTTGACAATGTTAAATGGGACAAGATGTGAAATATACTTAAAATTGTAGGGATGAGATACAGAGATAGAAGACGACTTTAGACTTTACAGGGGCAAAAAATTAGTATGCTTAGATTTGCAGATGATTAGCAATATTCGTATCTAGCAAGGGGGAGTTAGAGATAGCCTTAAATATAATGGCAGCAGTATTGACAAAACAGTATGATATATATAATACAAGGGATAGCGCAGGGTCGATCGCCTTTAAGAAAAAGAAGCCACTTATATGCTCGGTAATGATTACCTAATTTATAAATTTGAAAAGGATTGTTAGAGATGTTTGGAGCACGATTCTGAACGGCGAGCGCGGCTGAAAAAAAGGTTAAAAGCGTTCAAAATGTGACGTTACAGGCTAATGATGAGGACACCGTGGATAGAGAAAGTTAGAAAGAGTAGGAGAACAGAGGACGCTATGGAAGTCAAGAAGAAATAGGCGAGATAGGTTGGTAGAACACCTTCTCAGACATGAGAGGCTAGTTAGAAACATATTAGAAGCCGAAATAGGAGCTAAGAGGACTAGGGGTAGACCTAGATTAGATTACTGTTGACAAATAGTTAAGGGTGTTGGATGTTCTAGTTGTAGGGAAATGCGAAGATTAACTTAGGATAGGGAAGAGAGGAGGTGCGTCTGACGATCCTGTGATGGTGATGATTGAGATGTTGATAGTGCGTACATATAGAGACATGCGGAGTATTTAAATAAATCTGCGCGGATGTAGTAGTGTCATATGAATGAAGGAATGTGTGCTGAATAAAATTTGAAGTGACCTTGGAATTAGTTGAAATAATTTGGAATTAGGTACGTACTAACAACTACTTATTCGACATAATACAATGATCTGGGTGGTATATGTAGTAAATGTAGAGGGGAAGGTTATTTTATATTTTTTATGGGTATAAAAATGAATACCTTTACTTACATGTTAAATAAATATATGATTATCTGCTTCGGTTTAAATTTTTTAAAAGCGCGGAATATTATTGTCACATTTGACAACTCTGTAAAGAAGTATGTGTGTGATATAATCTAAGAGAACAATAATAAAAGTGGAAATAATTCGTTAGACTGAAACATGCACTTATATTCATGGGAAATCATATTCATTTTAATAGGAATCAGAGACCGCTGGTGCATAGGTACAGAACTGCCAAAAAAGTAATTTAGTGTGCCTGACCCAACGCTGATGTTCTTGTGCAAAATTGGCTTTTGACGGCCGTTTCGTGCTGAACATTAGACACCGCTTTTCTCTAAATCCCCACTAGCTAGCATAAATTATAGAAACTTTCTACTGAAAAAATATATAAAAGTTGATAACTTCAACGAGAATGTTTTAAAGGCATTTGGTCCTACGAAAGTTTAAAGTAACCATTTGTAGAACACCCTTTTTTGATGTATCACGAGCCGCCATTGACAGTTGTTTTTTCTTAAGAGGGAACACTGAAAGGAAATGTCGGTAGGTCTATCTATTTATTTGCGGGAAATGATAGTTACCAAAGTATGAAAGACAAATACAAATACATGCACATTATACGTTAAAATACATTTAGGTGTACCAACTGTGTAATAGCTGTAATTAGCTATCACGATGGCGCCTCTCAGATTGCCTTGGACTTGATATATGTACATTTGTACAAGCATCTTTAAAGATAAGGTGTTATCAGTAAGTGTTGTTAGGTTTATGTGGGTAATTGTAAGCTTTTTGTAACTTCTTTTCTAAAAGATAATATCAAAAGTTACTACGTTACACTACGTCTTTATTACCCGCATTAACAAATTCCTGGTTTTATGCTGTTGAAAATATTTCACGGTTAATTTTTACTAGGTACCTTTAAAATAGAAAGTTGGTCCATAACTGAAAATCTAAATAGTTGATTGGAGAAAAGTAAAAATATTTGGTTCTTTTTTTTCTCTCGGAAATTTCTTAGAAGTCGAAATCGGCCCCTCGACCGAAATAACTCATATCGTTTTGGCATAAAGCCACTTTAAAAATGCTACGAACGAACAACATCCTGTCCCACCAGCGGTCAGAAATTATGTATATCAAAACGTTTTACGTACGATGGGCTTACCTTATACATAGGCCAAAAACACAAAGTTATGTGTATCAAAAAAAATGAACAATCATTGACAAATTACAAACTGACAGGCTTCTAATCATGCTATGCGGTATTCTTTTGTTGTTCATGTATCCACACTCTAAATAACAACGGCTTGATTGTTGCTATAATGTGCAAACAAGTGGAAAACATATTGCATAATCCTGGTGCATACACCAGCATCGATCCATTTGCCTCTTTCAGTAAATAACGGATGGAAATGGGTATCTAACTGCCTAATAAATTTGTTAAGGGATCCGGAACCACTTGCAAATGGTAGCGGATTTGAGAGAAGTTCATAACGTATAAAATTATTGAGAGATTGCGTTTACTTCGTTTACGTAATCTGTACTAATCCCATATTTATCCCAGTTATTTTATATCACATTTTGGACTTCTGTTTTATACACTATATCATCTGTCTTTAATCGACTCTCCTCCGTGGTATAGTAAAAGGTTACGCTCAGAAAGTTTCTGAAACTTTCAGAAACTATCTAACTTTGTGTGTCGTTTCTAGGTGCGATTTATCATCCTGGACTGCCTGAATAAAAAAGCGCCCCGTATCGATCGTCTCCCGCGTCACTCGCTCGTAACAAAATAATAAATTTAAACACATTAAAAAATCGCGCGTTAGTGTCTCCAAAAATTTACCTTTAATAAAAATGAAAATTCATTCAAATTAAAATTAAATGCTTTTGAGTACATCTCTCAATACATTATTTCCTTATCGTCTTTACATGTTTGAGTTTTTATCAGACTCTAATCTTTAAAATCAGCGTAAATACGACATATGTTTATATATGTATTTTGAAGAATCAATTTAGTAAATTTATTATATTTTGTCACAATAATGTAATTTTTTATTTTGATCCATTTTATGTGTATAGTGTAAAGGCAATCTATCTTTTCTTGATTCTAAAAAATGACAGTGCATTAATCTTATAGTGCGTAGGGCGTATTTATAGTCATTTGTGTAATGGCTGGACGTACACATCATTAATTCCCTTGTGTACCATAAATTAACGCCGAATACATACATCGCTTGTTTTATTAAATTAAATATAATGTAATAAGGGAAAATCAACTAGTGTTGCAGCAGTGATATCGCATAAAAATGATTATGACCTCTGCAGCAGATAAGCCTTCTGTAAACACGCTCTTATCTACTCTAGTAAATAAATATTGGTTAAGCTGGATTAACGTTATTATTATATATTTATGCATCTTTCTCTTAAGATTTAAGTTGCATTAAAGATTGTTTTTCCAGGGTTACGCATAAAGTAATAACTAGTCACATGTACTAATAATGTAATAATACCCTAATGAGGTTATGTTAGAGCGTAGGTGTGTCTGTAATGGAAACAAGTGCAGCTAACTCTTCTGATCAGACGCGGATCGCGATTTCGATCTCTTTGGATCTCATCGGCGCGTCGAAGGCAGCTCCGACAGAACACAGACCAACTTTTACCTGCTGTCTTAACAGCGCGTTTTAGAAAATACCACAAATGGCGCGGTAAACGCCATCTGTAGTACGATGCTACATTTTAGGATTACGTATGCTCCAACAAGGTCCACTTGTGTAGATATCTACTTGCTGAAAACGAATCCCGCCGTGGCTAACCTCAACGTGACAGGCATGTTAGCTTAATCGAATGAAATAATTCGAAGTGGTCTGTATTCTGTCGAAACTGCCAGACGCGGATCGCGATTTCGATCTTTGTGGATCTCATCAGCGCGTCGCAGACAGCTCGACAGAACACAGACCAACTTTTACCTGCTGTCTTAACAGTTCGTTTGGAACATACGTAATCCTAAAATGTAGCATCGTGCTACAGATGGCGTTCACTGCGCCATTTGTAGTATTTTCTATTACTAAAACTGTTAAGGTGGATAGATAAATA